TTCCGACTCCTCCTCCTCGCCGCCAGAATTGAGGCCCACCCGGCGGAGTTCCGGATCCACCAAGGGCTACTTGCCTGCCTGCCTGCCACACCAACAAACCAAAAAACGAAACTTGCTATAGAAGGGTGTTTTATGGCTTTATTCACTGAAGTGGATCAGTTGTCGAGAAGAGGCAGTAGATAAAAGTGTAAAATGAAATTTGTTCGTTCACTAGTACTTACGCGAAAGAGGTCTGCTCATGCCTAATTTAGAAACGCTTCTATGCGAACAGGTCCTAAGTACTGCGTGAGAAATTGCATTACACGGTTGTATTAATAGACCATTGCAAAGACTGGCTATCTCCTTTTTTGTCAATTACAGGCCCTTCTTTCGCATGGGGACGACGAGTCACATGGGCACTCCCACGACGAAAACAGCATGGAGGAGCATGATAACTTTGTCTGGAAGTCTCTCATCGTGTTGCTCGGCATTTACGCCTTCTTCATCACCGAGCGTCTCACTATTCTTTTCCAAAATAGCGCCTCCAACCGTAAACAGAAGCGGAATCAGGTGCGATTTTCGGTGGTATTTACCCCATTTTTGTCCCACAACAGTTGTTTAGGACAAAGGGTTTTCATAATCTCACCCCCTCTATTCGCCGCTACCGCCGCCTATGACATTCCGTGATGGTCACATTCTATCAGATTGTTTTGGGTTTGGATGAAAATTGGAGTATCTTGGTAGTTGGTATTACGGTTATTCAGTATTGGAAAATGTCATATCTAGGCCTAAATGTACGTGGATGATGTGCTCAAGTTGGGGCTGTTGTGAGACTTGATGGTGGGCTTTGTCCCAAGAAGCCTCTCCAATTGGCCATTCTGTTGTTACAGTAGACTCAGTCACTATTTTAATCTGACCTCTATGGCGCTCCGCCTTGTTGGAGTTCCGAGCCCCCCCCCAACACACAAAAGACTACCTCTTGTAGAATTTGGACCCAAGTCGTGTGGGACATGCGTAGACTGGCCGTTAACTCCTACCAGTCACTGCGTCTGCGCCCTATCCAGTTGTTCGGGTGTTGTCTTGTCATCGAAACGGTTGGACGTGGGAAGAGTGAAGCCAGGCAGGCGCG